TGTGCATAGGAATCTAAAATGAACTTAACTCTAATGTTAAAAATTAATATCAGAGTTCAATAATTGGGGCATAAAACTAAAATGCGATTGGAAATGGAATGGTTTTTGTGCTATTCAGACCATAGACTATTGGGTCAGAATTTAGTTCTCCGTACTAATGCTGGAATTGTCTAGTCACTGGCAGGATTAGCTAGATACCTGTTGCAATCATAATGGTTCTCCTTAAGTTTAATATTTCTTTCTATTTCTAAAACATTAGTTCATAAAGCATGCATGACTGTGTTATTGACCTTCTATTCTCCTTTTTCCTATATGGCCAAGAAACCATACTTATACAACTAATCATTAAAGCGTATCATATTGCCTTAACAATATTATCAATAGTTTTAGTGGTCATTTTATTTACTTTGCCTTTTTGCAAATCTTTCTTTGTTTTCACTCTGCAGGAAATGGTGGTCCTTTAATCTTGGATTAACTTTTGAATGCTGTTTGGTTTTACCTATCTGCAGTATATCATTCCTTGAAATATCTAGGCATTATACTACTTCTATTTTATTGTAATCTAATTATAGATAAAATCAGAGGGTATATATTTTATGACTCATGAGCTCTTGAAAATCCACACAAAATGACACATTTTAGGAGTATGTAAAGGCCATCGTGATTATGTTTTTTAGTCATTATTGCATTCTAGTGTCTCTTAGTTATTTTTTCTCCACGTATTTACCCGTATACATATTAACTGTTGCTGGTGGATTGAACACACACACATATTCCTTCAATAGGTTTGACTACATTTAACCCTTGGTTATTGTCTCTATTTACAGAATAGAGAAGAGATGTGAACCGTTTAAATATCATTTATTTTTGAACTTAAAGATAGCTCGGTACCAAAAATTAAATTCGGGTGTGTTTATCAAATAGGAAAGTCACTTTAAAATTAATGTTGTAACTCTAGAAAAATAATTTGGGATGCTTTCTTGTCTTTCAATTTTTTACTCTTCCCGACTTCTGCCGAAACTCCACGGCATCACTGTTTTCTGGTTGTCTCATCACTTGTATTTTATCACAGCTCAGCGCAGTTCAAAAATACGGCGTTTCCTAAGTCAGGGTCTCATTGATGAAGTTCTAAAGCTCGCTCTTACTCGTCGTAAAACGAGACTAACTGGTAGACATCCAGGAACTAAGGGGGAAAGTCAGTGTTATTAATAGAACAGTCTGCGTGTATCTGTGTATACACACACACACACAACTCATAGTGAGATATTGTAAACTTACTTGTATTACTCATATATATATAGCTGCCAATAATTACATTCATTTTATTCAGAGTGGGGAACATATGCTATAGCTAAAAGAAAATAGGCTGAAAGCCAGACAAACAGTTTCAGATTTTAAATCTAGCAATCATTTCCTCTCCGTGCCACTTTTAGCAAATTATTTACTCTTTTTCTTCAGAGGGGGATAATGATATAAATGTTGTGGTGAAATGAATGAATTAATATGTGTAAAGTGTTTGGTGCATGGGAAACTTGTGATTGGTGTGATTCCTCCTTCTTTATCCAATCACTGATCGTGTTCCACGTAGAAAGACCTGCTGGACAGTTAGTAGAGCTTCATTATTACAGTGACTGATCTCATTTCCTCTGCCTACTTTGATGCCTCCATACTTGAAGACACAAATTGTACGATATATGGAGATACATGTGCATGTATATATACATGTGCATATGTGTGTATACGTGTATAAAACTTCTCATGCTTTTTTTTTGTGTGTGTGTGTGCATCCTATAGATGTCAGCATCCCTGGACATTTGTTGTATGACTGTTACCCAAAGTTTGACTGGGCTGAAGGGAAACATTTAAAAAGGCTCCCTGTGTGGGGGAGCTCTCCCGCCCCATGAAATTTGTGAGAATTTCAATGGTTTCATTTGCTTTTCCTAAATTTTTAAACTGATTTTAAATTAACTTCCTGATAATTTTCAAAGCTGTCTTTCTTTGGAATATTTTTCTCCATACCAGTGGGATCTTTCTTTCCATAGACAGGCTGTAGAAAAATAACATATTCATATAGAATCTCTACAGTCTTACTCTGAAAATTAACAAGGAGATTCTTTGTCATATTTTATCTAGGACACTCAACCTTAACACTTTAGTTAGAATTATTTTTGCCTGGATATTTTTATAAGTACCTATTGGTTCAGCATCTCTAATGCTAAATAGAATATTTTAACTTCCACTGGTTTCTGCTAGTTTGTTATGTAAAAATTTCAGATTTTCTGTCAACTTATAAGAAACTAATGAGCCAAAATTTGCAGCCAATACAGTGTGAAAAAGCAGCACTAACGTAAAATTCAAGAGTTCTGAACAATTAATTTAAACCCTTTTTTGGCTTATGCCCTGGTTTATACATATATAACATAAGGGGGATATATTTCAGTTTTCTCCAAACTCTGAAGGAATTACAGTAATGACGCCAGTGTGCATTAGGCCATTACTGTGCCTGGGGACAAAATGAAAATAGTAACCAAAGTGAGCCAACTGGTTGGCATAAAAAGTGTTCAAATATTGGGAATGCATCCTGCTCTGATAAAAGCAGATTGGCCAATAAGCATGGAACAGGGATGGGGGATTTTTGCTCCATTATTACCTAGTGAGTTCTAAAGTTCTAATAATGATGATGGTAATAACAGTAATAAAAAAGGTTCTTTAGTCACCGGACTTCATGTGGCTATAATTTGAAAATA